GCCACTGGACGCGACCTCCTGGGCTATTGACCTTCTCCCACTTCAGGCTCGTTAGGCCAGTAAAGAATTTATTACTCCATTGGGTAGGTGTTGCTGTCCAAGAACCTTCAAAACCACTGGTAAACGTGTTGTTGCCTCTGCCTCTCATGTCGCCTTGTCCACAGGTGCCGGGCCATGGAAACTCGGGGTCTTCTAACGGGGACGGACCGGGACCTGTCAAACAGGCACCGTGAGATTTGCCAAATGCATGACCTCCACCTATGAGAGCAACCGTCTCTCGAATCGTCCATTCCCATGCGTGCAAACGTGCCGCGAACTTCCGCGGCTGAGCCCACCGGGTCTGAGTTACCCTTCGGACCTTCGGGATTCACGTACATGAGTCCCAGCGTCGTCGGACCTAGAGGATTCTGACATTGACTCTCGTTTGAGCACGGTGCCACACTCTGCTGCTCGGGTGTCGGACCCAGCTCCAGACTACTCGTGCCATCAACGTCGTCTTGACGGCCACCACAGAAGCCCAATATGGGACCGCCCATACTCTGAATAGCAACGTTACCCGACAGTACAATTAAATCACCCCATGAAAGTGTGTCGCCGTATTTGGCCTTAATCGGTTTCAGCAGTCTCAGTGCCTTATCCAGATTTGTATTGTCATCCCAGCTGCGTTCGGGATTAAAGCGAATACGGCCACCGTCACAGCCACCACGGCCATCAGCACGGCGGTACGAGCCATTGCAGTGCCACGCCAGACGAATAAAGAGGCCACCATAATGGCCAAAATCAGCAGGCCAAAAATCCTGCGAGTTTGTCATTAACTTTATCAGATCCGTCTTGACAGCGTCAAAGTTGATCATTTGACAGTGTTCAAGCTCGTCAAATATGTTGGAAACCGCCGATCTTGTCCCTTGACTGAATTGGCCTGGTTGTACCCAAACGGGCAACCTGCCGACCAACCAGCCTTAGCTCTCGCCGAGAGATTGGCAAGGGCAATGAGTAAGGTGATGAGACGGACGTTCATCGCAAAGGTTTGGAGGAATTGTGCACTGCAGAGAAAATGGAACTATGCGTGAACTAAGAGCCCACTTGGTCTGGTAACGACCCTCATCTAAAAGCTACGATAGTACAATATGATCATTATAGACTTATCAATTTGTCGACATTCCCACGAGGATCCTTTCTAAGTTCTCAAGCACCATCAACCTCGAGTTTCCCCATGCAAAACCAATCTTCCCGAACTTTCTCCATACAAAACCAATATTTCCGAAATTTTCCCAAGCAAAACCTATCTTCCCAAAATTTCCATATGCAAAACCAATCTTCCGGAAGTTTTCTCCAAATCCCGACTGTTGCAGCAGTGTTGATTCCTAGAGATGCTAGCTTTTTACCTGGTACCTTTTTCGGCCCATTCCCATATGTAATTTTAGTCCTGCTGGCTTTCGCTCCAGCGAACACGCGATTGAGCTTTCGGGGACGGAAGTGACTATCCTCCAGCAGCCGATTTAAATGTCAGAACCATCCATCGAATTAGGTGATGAGCCGATAAATTCGACGGTGGATGCGAACGCGTTTATCAACAAATGTTTTGGCTAAGTTCCGAAGCTGCCTCCCTCTTCTTCTTTCTATCTAACCGTGTAAGTGTGCGCTGTTCGCAACAGCCCCTCAGACACAACACACACGCTTGTGCAACAAGGAAGCGATTCCCGACGTGGAGGGAGACAAACAGTCACGACTTAGAGGGAAGAAGAACGAATTTAGACCTTGAAGGTTAATTTGCAAGGGAATTAAAATGATTCAAAAAATGCTAGCTACATGCAAAACCCTCCAGGGGTCTAAAGGTTTAAATTACAATACCTTGGGCTTCTGATATAGTGTACTGAGGTTGAACCTCAGCTTCAACTTGAAAGTACGGAGCTTGAACTTCGAAAAGCTTGAACTTCACTTTCGTGGAATTCATCCAGTCGATGTGACTGGCTTAGCCGTCCACTTCATAAGACAGACACGTTGGTCTCGTCACCAGTACAGATCCCCAAGTAGGAACCAGCATTCTGTATCACACAGAATGATTGTGACTTCACATAAGATGTCACGTATGCATTTGAGATTACCACACATTACTGTTTCTTTATAAATTCCACAATGCAGACAGAAGGTACATCAATAGGTACATTTGTGTATTAGCGAGTGTGGCCTATTACAAACCGTTGTTCTGAGACTGAGTATTAGTCTTTTCGTCTCTTGCATCATATCTGTCGCTAAGGCGGCTTTTGATGCTACAACCTGTCGCGTAAAAACACCACTACCACTTGTCGTTCGTGGAAACACCAAAGCCACTCGCCGTCAAAATGGAGGCCATCGAATGCCAATACGCTGTCGAAGGCGACTGGACTTGCACCACATTAAGAATGGAGCGAGCGCAACCTCACCTGCTCCCAACCTCACCTGGTGAGAGACTGGCAGTACCCATGCCAAGACCCCGCTTGATGGCGTAGTTGGCTGGCAAGAGCCGTAGCTATGCCGCGCTCGATTAAGTACACGAGTGACTAAAATTTGGTCAGATTATCATAAGGCTTCTAAGCGGTAATCTTTTTTTACATTTAAAGTGAACATGAAAGACGCCAGAGTGAGCTGGAACGCGCCAAATTGAACATCCTTGGTGACACCTTTGCGTTCAAGGGATTTGACAATTATGACGATTAGTATTTTATTGGTATCGCAACGTCAATTTCGATGTTAAAATTGATGTGGATTTTGCATGGAGTGTTTTTCCTCAGGTGTCAGCCGGTGTACGGCCTTTGCGAGGTGGACTCGCAAATTGAATAAAATCGGCAACGTGGTGAGTATACTCTATGTTCAGAATTTAAGCGCGTTGATTTAGAACAAATCTGTTTTCTTACAACAAACTTCATCCACCTCAAGTCAAGAATGCTTCGCTCCTTCCGAGCAACAAACATACATAAGGTTATCGTTTGCATCATGTAATTGATCTTTGGACTGTAGAAAACAAACTTCATGCCAAGAAGTCAACCTTTGGGCAATATCAGCAGCAGCAACTACTATCACCAAAAACCTATAGTCAGACCACAAGTTCAAAAGTGAAGCAAATCTTGATACAGAAGGCAGTTTGGAAGGGAAAAAAAGACGGAAGTACATCTCCAACAGATAGCTCAGTCTGGTGATTTGCCAGCCAAAATAGCACTGGCCAAGCCAAGATGAACCTCGCACATACCCACAATTAACGACCTCAAGGCAAGATAACTCCTCTCTGATGTGCCAAATCACAAATTAAATCTCCGACATTGCTTAATAAATGAAACCGGTGACTTCTCCACTGTGATAAACAAGAAGAAGCACTGGAAAACCAAAATCGATTCCTTCAACATATTGGTGAGTCAGCAACCACAACCTCTAAATGGTCTTACCGCAACCAATTACTTTCAGGTGTTGCAATTGATGGAGACCACTTTTGGAGCAAAGAAGGTTGTCATGAATAAGAAGTATGGACCGCGCTACTAAGTGATTGCTGTCGATGTGAAACGTCCAGAGGAGATCAAGATATCACGTGATGCGGCTTTTTTCGTCGAGAAGAAGCACACGAAGATCAAGAAGGCTTCTATATGCAAGTCTTGGTTTAGAAGTCGTCATAAGTGTATTCGATCCTGGATGTGTTCAAATCGATGTCGAGCGACGAGAACACAACATGCTCAATATTCTCCCTGATAGTCGTAGTCGAGCTGGCCCTCCGGCTGGAAGCATGATCAATATCATTTACAGCGTCACAAATCTGAATCATGTTACCAAGGAGGCGGTGGACTCGCTGCTATCTTACAAAAGCACTTTGTCTCTGAAGATGGCTGGTACTGGACATTTCGCTGCAGAGATTACATGTGATTAACCGTGCTGGGTGCTAACAAGCGGAGCAAGGATATCGCTTTCAGTGCGAAGTGGAAGAAGCACATGAAGATGACAGTCCCATCGACGTGAGTAGAGCATGTTTAATACGTATGCCTAGTAGTGGAGATCATTTGATCGAGTGGATGAATTTCTCGAGCGACGAATGCATCTGGTCCCGTTACACATTTTGTGTGAAGCACATAGTCTTTGTGACTCACGTCAACTGTCCACCCTGCAAAGTTGTATGTCCTTTTTCAATTTTTCTGCATCAGAACTGGAAGTACTTATCAGGGAAGGGAATTGAAAATCCTGTAAGCTATAATAATAAAAATTACCTCACATTTCTCTTCGTTACGTAAGCCAACGGCCAACTGTAAATGAGCAACACGCGGTGAGGCGTGTCGGATGACCTAATCCTTCTTCAGAATGTGTGTGTACACGGACGGTCAATTCTCGCTACGCTCGGTAGCACTAGTAGTCATTTCATCGCCGACTATTCACTGGATTTCTCGATGGATAATGTGGATACTACGGGTGGTGATCATCTTCGGATCAAGGTAGGAGAGCTCGTTTCTAACACACTTGTGGTGGGGGTGTGTAGTGAAGCTGTTAGTCTTAATCGGAGATCACGTGGTCTTCGATATGCTCCAATCGATTCAAGAAGCGACAACTCAACGCTTAGCAAAATTGCTGCGTATGAGCAAGCATGATTGGAATTTCTTTTGCAAAGCAAACCAACGCCGGATCCGTCACCTCCCCCACCGTAATGGTGACACCGTTGGCACACTTGAAATGTCTTGCAAAAAAAAGGTAAAAGGTTTCACGGGAACGAAAATGGAAATCTTGCGTTCTGGAAGTGAGAAATGGTCATCGCCATCGCGATGGCTCTCGTGATGACAGCCGGCAAGTGGAATTTGTCATGTTGCATTAGGATATCCGTGCAAAAGATTGGGCGATGGCATGGGAAGTTCACCGCCTTGGCTATTTTCCCACATGGCAAGAGTTGAAAAAGACTATGGAATCGATGTTTCTTCAAGCGAATGCGGCGTTTGACAACGGTCGAAGTTTCTGCCATGTCATCACGTCAACGGCGCTTTGTACGACTATGTACAGAAGCTCCGTGAGCTTTGTCCAGTATGGCAAGTGAACCACTGTCAGAGGCAGTGATGGTCACCGTATTTATAGAGGTATTCACTTTTGTTCATCCTAAGACCGATGTCTTCCACCAGACGCCGACGACTCTGGAAAATACAATTGTGATTGCATTGCGTGAGAACTACTGTTAGCGTCAAGATTGTGGTCAATCGGCCAACCCGATGGATGCAGTGACTATTACAACTGGAAATCCAGAACCAACGGATCTCAGTGCGGTGACTATCCGTAGGCAGCAAGTTCGCTGTTACGGATGTCAACAATTCGGTCGTATCCGCCGTGATTGTCAATGTCTCAATACGGTTCTCGTCATAATGGTCCGAATCACGTGGTTCCAATACCAGGAGGCGTTTGGGAAACACGGGTGAAGTTTTGCGTTCTCCTATGGGTTCAATCCCGGTTTTCGTCGACACGGATCACGCAAGCTTGCGTTTATGTGATTCAGTCGCCTCACTTTCTACAGCGAATGGCTCTCTGGTTGTCATTCTTCGCAGACTACAACTTCACGGTGGCATACAAGCCAGGGAAACTGAACATGCTGACAGACGCATTTTCCGGTCATCCAGATTATGAGCTAGCTCACACCAGCTACATCAAAAACGATGTACTCGATATGATACGTCGGGCGTATGTTAATATGAGCAGTGTGATTTGGCCATCAAAGCACTCTCATTGAGTGTTACAGAACTCCATGTCAAGCTTCCTGGCTGCTTGAAATCACAGATGCATCGTTATGCTTTGAACTATGTTATCCTTACGATGAAATTACACGTGATGACAAGCCATAAATCGTATTTCCCAATAATGATGG